TGGCTGTCGCTTTGCAGATAATGGATGAGTGTTTTTTGCCCATGGTTGACCACAGAAGTGGGGTCAATTTAATTCGGAACATTGTTTATAATTTCGGGTAAGAAGTCTTAATCTGTAAGTTTCACTTGGAAATGCATTATCTGCTGGTTCAGAAGTCCTGCATGGTCTAGAGTCTTGGCAGTGTAATTATTGAGCACAAAATGATGTAGGTGGGTGCATAGCACGCACTAAAAAAAATGAGTGCACCGAAGACAACCATTATATATATGTCCTATAGCGCTGGATGTCCATCATTTGGTTCATCTCTACATTGAAGAACACCGGAGAGTCTATTGATTTGAATACTTTATCCACCTTCAAGTTGTGCTGTCCTTATATATTTCTTGTTGCAGCAAGTTTACTAGAGATAAAATCTAAATTGTTCTGTGGACAACCCCGACTTTTTGCACAATACATTGTATATATGATTCGCTTCTTGATTCATTCCTAGATTTTAGGTGATTTCATCGTTGATAACATTTTACTGAGATTTCATAGTCTGTAATGTGTGCTATTGTCATCACACACTGCAAACTTAGTTTCATCTAACAATGTTATCTGATGATGTGCCCGTATTTTTTCAGGTCAAACTTTACCAGACTGAACTATGGCAGTTTTCTAACTATAATCTTGGAGAGGGGGGATGAAATGGTATCTGCTGCATCCATTCGGTATGACTATCTGTTGTATGCTTGTCGAAACTTATCAGGATATGGATATTAAAATTGATGAAATCCTTCTGAAAGAGTGAGCTCCATCCGTTATTCTGAACCCACTGAGATAGTTCCTCCTTACATGCAACGAAGTTTTACCATCACCCACATTGGGATGGGAGGGATCTATCTTGTTCAGCACCTTACCCACCAGAGGCAGCAAGGTTGACGAGTTCTAAGTTCAATAGAACACACTGTACAGTGTGTCAAGTAGATGCATTTTAAGTTGCATTTTTTGAATGGAGGACACTGTTAGTTGTTGACGTTTTCTGCTTGTAGTGCTTTCATTAAGTCCAGCTTGTCATGCTCTCTTTTAATATATTTTTCAAATGTCCATTTCTTCTAATTTTTGCTTACGATTTGTGTGCCTGATGAAACAGGATCCACGGGAATAATTTAGCAGAGATGCCTTTCATAGGGACGCGCTACATTTATAGGCGGCAAGGAATGTGTCGGCGGCTTTTAAGTGCAATTGAAAGTGTACGTGTATAAATTTCTTCTTTCTTGCTATTGTCCGGTATCACCACTTGTCCTTGTTTGTTATCCTGTTTTCATTGTGTATATCTTATTTTCATGTCATTATCCTTGTCCTGTCAATGGCCTCAATGAATGGCATTCTAAAGAGTATGCTTGTTCCCCTTCATGCCATTATCTTTCTTGTTAAGTTAATGGCAATTTCAGTTGCATATTCTTTTCTTGACTTTCCTGTTATTGGTTCTTTTACACACATTGTTTTTACTCATCTTCCCCCAATCATCAGGCTCTTCACTCTCTGAACGTAGAGAAACTGGTCATACCTGCAATATCTGAATTAAGGGAAACATGGACAGGCATCTTTGGTTTCGGGGCACTTGAAAGATCAAGTAGCCCGACAGTTAGAAACATGAACATGGTAGTGTTTCCCGGCGTCGACATGTTACAGAAACCAGTGCTGCTTAATCACTCTGATGGAGATGCTGTTGCTCCCGTTCAAGGTATTATTTGCAAATTTACGTTGTCAAATGGAGATTTGACCTTATCTTACTGATAAGGACTTACATGCTGCAGGTTTGCAATTGAATGATTCTGATGATAGATGTCCAGCTGGATTTGATCTGAACAGTGCTTATGAGCCCAATGAACATGTAGATGGTATTGAATCTCAGTCACTAGGCTTGAACGATACTTCTGTAGCACGCGAGTGTTCTGACTTGCCCCAAAATCCTAGTGATCAAAGCTCCCTTGATCAAATTGGTAAGGATCCTGGTTATGTGGAGAAAAACAATGTGAATGTGGATCATTGTCCTCCTATTTCCGTTGATGATGCTGGGGAAAAAAATGGAGAGGTCTCTGAACCTGCTGCAGTTATTAATGAGAGAAGACTTGAAAGCAAGTCTAACTTAGAAGAGACTGTAGTTGATCTGAACCTGACTTCACATGAAGATTCTAACCATATTTCCGCCCAAAGCATGGACTACGGAGACTGTGGTTTGGCTTCTGAGGCTGAGCTGTCAACTAGCAAAGCCATCCATCAAGGATCCGAAACTGGAGTCTTGTCCGATGGAATACATCAGCCAAGGTCACCGATGGCTGACAATGGCATTTCCTTGGCAGCTCAAACTGAAACTCTGCAGGTTATGGGTGCGGATGATGATGTGGATAACGGTAAGCTAACACAGTGTAGTTTGGAGCCGACGTGTTCTTCGAGCTCTGGCCATGGGGTGGGGATTCATTTGCCTCTTGTGGGTACAGTGCGGGCAATGCCCCAGAGGTGAAAATACCATGAAATGAAGGGCAGCTTGTTGGCAAAGTAGATATTTGTTTGGGTTGGTTCCTAGAGGAGATTAGTTTAGGAATTTAGAATGATTTAGCTTTTGAATTGCAGAGAAGGGCTTCCGTTTGTTGCGAGGCTTTCTTTTGGGAGCTGCAACTCTTAAGAAGAAGCAGGTAAAGTCAGTGACTTGAGAGCAATTGTTTGTGGATGCAGGATGGAGGTTAAGTGCATTTTGGTAATTATCATCTTAACCTATTTTGTACATGGAATGGAACGAACCCAGTTTGCTGCTGTGGGAAAGCTAACTGTTTATGATGGTGAAGTCTTATTGTTTTGTGATTAACTGTTTATGTTCCATCCCCACTGCTAGAGGGATGCTTTGTCTATTTCTTATCAAAGAACCAACACATCTTCTCTTTGGATCTGTAGGAGCAATTCGTTTTTTTCTTTGTTGATAAGGATGAACGGGTCGGGAATTGAATCTTTTTGGCAACTTTCACAGTCACATGCATTTATAGGTTTTACTGCATCTTCATGGTTCTAATTTCAACATTTCCCCCCAGGGTTAGGAGTTATTTTATGTTAAGGGTAGGATTTGTAGCACTCTAATCTGTTCAGGCTACAGAGACTATTTTTATCCAAATATTTTTACCAAACTTCTAAATCATTAAAAGAACCATATGCATAAAAATAGTTGGGGAAAATTTCGTAAGTTTGTTTTTATATGACAAAGAAACAATCTAGAAATGCTAATGCTCTTGTAATTCTCTTGGGATAAATCATAAAAGCATAGTTTGATTGAATTTGGTTTTCTTGTCACTTGTCCTAGAATGGGCCCACCATCAGTAGCACACAACTTAGTCACCAACTAACTTATAATTGGTTTCCTCACATTGACATATAACATACGGCACGATTTAAGCGATTGCTCGGAGAACTAACACAATTATACATAATTTTCTTATTATCCATAAGTAAAGGTTCTTACATAATAAACTCTTTCACTATGGGAAGTGAGGTAATAGGTGTGTGGCTACACAAGTGATGCAACATGCAAGTATTATTTCGTTATCGAAATGTTGACTTTAATAGACAACTAAATTTTTAATATTTTAGTTTCCAAAATAAAATTGGTTGTATATACTACTTTTTTCGCTACCAATTTTAGTTTGGTTGTGAACTTTTTGGTTGTAAAAGCTAGTTTTTGTTGTAGTGGTAGCTCTCAAGTCTCAACCGCTCTTTTTTCAATGTTACAATTGTGCAAAACTCAGACTCTGGAACGCTGGAATATATAGAGGCTTCAAGAGTGCCGTTGCTGTCAATCCACCCGAGAATATTTAATCGATGATGTTGAAGCATTCTGCACTTGTCGATTGGAATGAGCAAGAACTGAAGATGCAGAAAGGGAAGTGCAGGATGCTGAAGCACGAAGAAACTTCTGCAGGCGTTCGAAACGGCAGCTGGTCCTGAAGACGATTCGTGATATGGGGCGCGTTTCGTGACTTCGTTCCAGCCAGTACCAAGACGTCGTCGTTTACTTTTGTTACCGTTGTTGTTAGTTATTTACAGCGTATTGTCTGTTGCCACGTGTTTTGGTAAACAGTAAAACTTGAACTGTTGTTGCTTTACTTTTGAGTATAAATAGAAAAGGTTCCCAGCTGTTCTCTGCTGAGGAAACCCTTCTGCAATTCTCCTATAAGCTTTGTAAAGCTTTTCTACATGGTATCAGAGCAGCAGTAACCATGGCCGATCTACCTCCTCCGAACACGCCGCCGCCTGGAAGCGGGACAACCGGCGATCATCCATTCACACCTCCTTTCAACTTTGGGAGCTTCAACAGTGGTCAGCAAGCTCAAGGTTCTCGCCCAGGAAGTGGTCAAGGAACCAGATCTACAGATCCAGTGTTTGGTAATCCTTTTTACATCAACCCTAATGAGAATCTCGCTCAATCCATTGTACCTATCGTTCTGGATGGGACAAATTACCAAATGTGGGCTAGAGCTATGAAGGCAGTTCTTAAAACCAAGCAAAATCTAGGGTTCATAGATGGTACTATACCTGCTCCAGATAGATCTCATGAACTGTTTAACATGTGGGATGCGAACATTACGATTGTGTAATGCTGGATTACTAACTCTTTAGAGAAAGAAATTGCTCGAAGTGTTCAAACCCATGAGAATGCTCAGATTCTTTGGAAAGAGCTTAGAGATCGTTTTGGACAGGCCAATGCTATCAAATTGTCAAACTTAGAAGATGAAATGCGTGCTTTCAAGCAGGAGAATATAACTGTTACTCAGTACTATACTCATCTTAAGGGTCTATGGGATGAATACAGTCAATTCAATCCCATTGTACCATGTCATTGTGCTCTTGGGAATCCTAATCCTTGCACAGCTGTTGAAGCATTCAAGGAGAAGCAGAACACTGATTACCTAATCAGATTCCTCAAAGGTCTTAATGAAGATTATAGCTACATAAGCTCACAGTTGCTTATGATGAAGCCCTTACCCACAGTTGTCACTGCCTATGATTACCTTCTTCAACAGGAACAGAAAATCAAGACAGAAGGGAGCATTGGAAAGCAGAAGTCTGGTCAATCTGTGGCACTAGCTGTGGGATCAGGAAATTCCAGTGGATCAAATGACACACCACCTAGAAGCTATGATCGACCTGAAGGAGATGGTGAAAGACCAGGTGGTCTCTTTTGCAATTACTGCAAAAAGACTAACCATGTCATCAAAGACTGTTGGAGATTGAAGAAAAAGAGACAGGACAAAGAAGGAATGCCAAGGAATCGATTTGCTGGATCAGTTGGTCAAGGGTCTGGGAGTGAGGAAGGACAGGACAGTGAAGGAAGACTCCAAGTTGAGACATCAAGCCTCCACCAGAATTCAGGAGGATTCACAGTTGAAGAGATGAACAGGCTTAGAGGATTACTACAATCCTCTACTTCCACTTCACCAACCTCACCTCAGAGTCCTGTGATCAACCACAGATCACACTCAGTGACAAATTACCTGCCAAAGTTTCCCAGTCATGCAGGTAAGATTGTGCTCTCCTCTCACAGTCATTTAAATTCTGCTCATAATTGGATTTTGGACACTGGTGCATCAGACCACATAGCATGTTCCATTTCATCATTCACTCACACCATTCCAGTGACTGATGTGTTTGTCTATCTACCTAATCGAGCCAAAGTTCCAGTTAGTCATATAGGGTCTGTTCAGCTTACAAATAATCTATTTCTTCACAATGTCCTTCTAGTTCCAAGCTTTACATTCAATCTCGTGTCAGTCAGTAAATTGACTCACGACCAACCCATCTCACTTCATTTTCAATCTGCCATTTGCCATATTCATGACCTCATCACAACCAAGATGATTGGTTTGGCGACAGAAAGTAGAGGTCTCTACCACATTCTTCCATCAACACATAGTCAAAGTCCCTCCACCACACAAGTTGCTTCTGTTTACAACTTTGAACCTCAGAAGATTGATATATGACATTGGCGTTTAGGTCATCCTAGTCAGGGTCGTTTTGAGCTTATTCATAAATGTATTCCAGCTATTCCCTTAGAGCAAGTCAAGCATTGTGAACACTGTCATTTGTCAAGACAGAAAAGACTTTCATTTTCTCCCAGTGATAACATTGCCTCAACTGTTTTTGCACTCATTCATGTGGATATCTGGGGTCCACTTTCAATTCAATCTCCTGATGGTTTCTCCTACTTTCTCACCATTGTTGATGACCATTCCAGAGCAGTTTGGATTTATTTAATGAAAAACAAATAAGAAGCTAGACAATTGTTGATTGGCATCTGTAACATGGTTCAAACTCAATTCACAAAATCGGTCCAGATAGTTAGAAGTGATCAAGGGAAGGAGTTCTATATGTGTGATTTTTATTCAGAAAAAGGAATTGAACATCAAACTTCCTGTGTTTATACACCTGAACAAAATGGGAGGGTAGAGAGAAAGCATCAGCACATTTTAAATGTTGCTAGAGCTTTGAGATTTCATTCAGGTGTTCCACTAGATTTCTGGAGTGATTGTGTGTTGCACTCTGTGTACGTGATAAACAGACTACCAACTCCTGTTCTTAATAATAAATCACCATATGAAATCCTATATCAAGTTCCTCCTTTCCTTGGAAACCTTAAAGTTTCTGGATGCCTGGCTTATGCCACCACTCATTCTCAGGGGAGAACTAAACTAGATCCTAGAGCCAAACAATGCATCTTCTTAGGTTTTCCCACTGGTATTAAGGGATGCAAGTTGTTTGATCTAAATTCACATCAGTTTCTAATCTCTAGAGATGTGATATTTTATGAGGATATCTTCCCCTTCAAAGGGAACTCCTCTGAAACAGCAAATGAAACACAACAAGAACCTCTACCTCCAGTATTCCCCACACCAATCAGTCCATATGATAGAATCCCAAATGTCAATAGTCCTTCCCCTGATAGCAGTCTTCATGTCAGTAGTCCTTCTTCTAAACAACAGTCAAGTAATCAGCCCAATTCTTCTGATAGGATTCCTCATGTCAGTAGTCATCCTTCATCGAGTCAGTCTAAATTCACTTCTGAGTCTGATGCATCATGTAGCCAGGATATGATGAATGTGTATGAACATGATGATGAGATGCATGATGTTAACATGGAAGTGGAAATTGATGAACCTGAAATTGAACCATTGGAAGAACAGGATGAAGAACCAGTGGCAAGAACTAGGCCACATAGAACCACCAATTTACCTGCTAGATTGAAGGATTATTACCTGAATTCAGTTAGTCAATATCCTATGTCAGAGTATGTGGGGTATGAATTACTCACACCAGAAGCAAGGGCATATGCAATGAGAATTACTAATCAGATTGAACCTAAGTGCTATGATGAAGCTAGTAAGGATGAAAACTGGGTAAGGGCTATGAATGAAGAACTGCAGGCTCTTCTGGAAAACTAGACATGGGAAATAGTTGTGCTCCCACCAGGGAAAAGAGCAATAGGATGCAAATGGGTTTTCAAAGTTAAGCTCAAACCTGATGGAAGCATAGAAAGACATAAAGCAAGACTTGTTGCAAAGGGATTTACACAAATATATGGATTGGATTTTCTGGATACATTTTCTCCTGTAGCTAAAAACAATTCTGTCAAGACCTTGTTAGCAGTAGCATCAGCAAAAGATTGGAACTTACATCAGATGGATGTCTCCAATGCATTTTTGCATGGAGACCTGGAAGAAGAAGTGTATATGCAGCTGCCACCTGACTATTCTACTGAAGGCAACTCAAAGGGACTAGTCTGTAAACTAAAAAAGTCCTTATATGGACTAAAGCAAGCCAGCAGGCAGTGGTTTGCCAAACTCACTGGCACACTGCTTAAGAATGGTTTTTCACAATCTAACTCAGACTACTCTATGTTCATCAGATGGTTTCAAGGTAGGATTGTGGTTGTGTTGGTTTATGTCGATGATATCATATTGGCAGGACCAAGGTTGGGGGATTTGGAGACTGTTAAGAAGATCCCGAAGAAAGATTTCAAAATTAAAGACTTAGGAGAGCTCAAGTACTTCTTAGGACTTGAGATAAGTAGAAATGCAACTGGCATTGCTGTGTGCCAGAGGAAATATTGCATGGACCTGTTGGGAGATACAGGTTACTTGGATGCCAAGAGCTGTAAAAGTCCTATTGATTGTAAAGTTAAGCTTAGTGCAAGGGAAGGCAAGCTTCTGTATGATCCTGGTTGTTATAAAAGGTTGATTGGAAGATTGAATTATTTAACAGTGACTAGACCAGACATTGCATATGCTGTCCAGCAATTATGTCAATTTCAAATTGAACCTCGAGATACTCATCTACAAGCAGCTTACAGAGTACTCAGGTATTTGAAAGGAACTCCAGGGCAAGGTTTGCTTTTCAAGTCTAGCAATGATCTTGTCCTGAAGGCCTATAGTGATGCTGACTGGGCAGCATGTCCAGACACCAGAAGATCAATCTCTGGCTATTGCACTTTTCTGGGAGATTCTCTTATCACTTGGAGAGCCAAGAAACAGACAACAGTTTCCAGGTCATCGTCAGAAGCGGAATACAGAGCACTTGCTCATTTGGTGTGTGAAGTTCAATGGCTACAAAATTTATTGAAGGAACTGGATGTGAAGCTTCCAACTCCAGTTCATGTGTTTTGTGACAACATGTCTGCTATTCAAATAGCAGAGAATCCGGTTTATCATGAGCGGACGAAACACATTGAAATCGATGTTCATGTTACCAGGGAACGAATTAAGTCTGGCCTGATTAAGTTGAGTTATATTCGCAGTGAAGAACAGCAGACTTATTTACAAAAGCTCTTACTCGTCACAGGGTTACCTATTTGCTTGGCAAGTTGGGCGTACTTAACATATACGCGCCAACTTGCGGGGGCGTGTTGAAGCATTCTGCACTTGTCGATTGGAATGAGCAAGAACTGAAGATGCAGAAAGGGAAGTGCAGGATGCTGAAGCACGAAGAAACTTCTGTAGGCGTTCGAAACGGCAGCTGGTCCTGAAGACGATTCGTGATATGGGGCGCGTTTCGTGACTTCGTTCCAGCCAGCACCAAGACGTCGTCGTTTACTTTTGTTACCGTTGTTGTTAGCTATTTACAGCGTATTGTCTGTTGCCACCTGTTTTGGTAAACAGTAAAACTTGAACGGTTGTTGCTTTACTTTTGAGTATAAATAGAAAAGGTTCCCAGCTGTTCTCTGCTAAGGAAACCCTTCTGCGATTCTCCTATAAGCTTTGTATAGCTTTTCTACAGATGAACCGTCTGTTTGAAGCTTTCCTGAAGAGGAGAGGGGAATGCTTGATTTGGAACAGCTTGACCAAAAGAGGATCAGTCGACATACCTCTTTCGTTCATCAACTTGGAGTACTGTCCTATTAATTCATATATGTTGAGGCCTCTTCCACAGTTCCCCTGCTTCTTCGTGTAGAGAGCGAGAGAGAGAGAGAGAGAGAGAGAGAGCGAGAGTGATAGAGAGAGAGTGAGAGAGCAAATATGGATTATATTTACAGAATTTTTGCAGCAATGGTCGCGGGATACCTAGGTAAGTCTTGGCCAATTGCCCTCGATCCGTAGATCGACTTGTTTTGCTATATGCATGTGTTTAGGAATGACAACGAGGCAGGTTCGAGGCGGGTTTCTTAGTACCAAGATCCGTCTCGTGGTAGGTCGGGTAATTTATCACGGGTCGTGGGTCGGGGTAGTTCGACTCAATGGGTATGCAATTTATATGAAAAACATTAGAAATATTCGTTATTTTTATTATAAGACCAAGAGAACAAACAATATTATGATAGACGTAGTTAAATTATTAGAGAAATTGAGATTTTCACTAATTTACAATTTTATTATAACTAAATTATGATGTAATAAAAGAAAAATCCTAAGTAATCTGATTAAGATTACATGTAATTTAGGCAAGAACGGGTAGAAAATAGGGCGGGTCAGAGCAAGTTGAACGATGAGAGTACCCATGCCCGTCTCGCTCCAAAACAAGCCAAACATATTGGGTAAAATGGGTCAAGTCAAATTTGCCATTCTAACTGTGTTTGTCTAACTTTCTTCTTGTCTCCTAATTACAGGTTCCGGTGCACTAATCCTATCAGCGCTTGCTCCAATGTATATTATTTCCCCCTAATTCCCAGCATTCCCCTTAATTCTCGGTCCTTTTTTTTTTTTTTACACAACGTTTTCCTACTGCATTTATCCTTATCTTTCCCCTTTTCCATTAATTTTTCCCGTCACACATTTATCTTTATTTCCGTCCCTTTTCAAAACAATATAATATAATAATATTATAGTTTTATCATTTTGAGAATGGTTCTATTTTTCTCAACCGTAATTGTGCTTTTTCCCTCATCATTTTGCGAGTGTGGGTAGTTTTAGTTGTGACCAAAATAAAAAAAAGTTTAGTGATGTGAACGTGATTAAGGTCTAATTAGTGTTAACAAGTCAAATAAACTTTTCATTCAAATATTTAGGTATTAAGAATGTGTGTTTACAAATACAACACATCCAAATTTCATATGCATATTAAATCTTGCAATGTTTGAGCTAAAAAAAAAAAAATCTTGCAATGTTTGTAAAATTTTATATTTTTTTGAAAGATTACAAAAAGGTCACTAACTTTGTACCCAATCCGTTGACCGGCTAATGTTCGCATGAAATTAATTTTGGGCAAGTGTTTCTTTTTTTGGAGAGTTAACTATGTTCTAGTAAAATATGCTAGATCAGCCAACCAACATCCTCTATAGTCTTTGAACTCTTAAGTTTTTTTTCCCACCCATAACACTTCCTATTTTTTCAATCTCTCCGTCTACTCCCAACTCTCTTACTATCTTTCATGTGAAGACAACGAACTATGAAC